GGGGGGGAAGGGGACAGGCACAGAGACAGCCCCGTAAGCCAGGGGGCCCGCGCTAGTGGAGGGGACAGTTTGCGGTGACAACTTCCGATAAACGCGCTTGGAAAGGAACCGAGGCGCTCCTTTAGTGACAGGGCGGAAAGCGAGCTGTTCCCTCCAAGTTACCCTTCGTCAGACCTCAGTGGTTAGCTTCAAGGGCAGCGGGGGGATCTAGAAATTAGCAGGACGTTTGCCCTCCAAGCCTGGGACTGGCCCTCTCTGGGCCCCGCGGCCCGAGAACCAGCATGGCCTGGGCTGGAACTGGATGCTAATAAGCTCCAGCCAGCGGGGGCAGAGGCCTGCAATCCAAGGAGAAGACGGTCTGCAGCCCAGCGAGGGGCAGGGAAGCCTTGCTGTGCAAAGCGACGGGGGAGGGGCTGCGGTGGCCGCGAGGCGATGAATGCCATTTGCTCCAGTCGTTTCCGGGGGAAGTGATCTACGCGATCTACAGGAGCCGGAGCGTGTTGGGCCAACCCTGGCGGTGCTCCCCAGGCCGCCGGACACCCGAGGGGCACGCCCGTGACCCGCGCGCGCGTGCATCTCAACGAAGCATCTCCACGTAGCCCGCGCCATCCCCGGGTCTACGGCCGCCCGCAGCCCAGCCGCTCGGCGACACTGGTCCACGTGGAGCTCCTCCCCGAGCCACCCCTACAGACAGCCGAGAAAGCAGGTGCCCACGACCTCTCCAGGGCCTCCCCCACCCCTACCCCCGCCGAGCGCACTTGGAGGGCTGAGCCCTCCTTGCCACATGCAGCCTTGGGCAAGTCTTTTAAGTTGTCTGAGCCCCAGTATCCTCGCCTACGGATAAAAATAGTTCTGACTTCTGGGGGGAGCTGTGAATTAGGTGAGACAGAGTGACAGCACGCACTGTGTGTCCTGCCCTATTTTTGGCCTTAATATGCATTAGCTGGTCCCGCGATTCTCGCTCAGCATTGCCTAGGAGGCAATGACTATTTTGCTGTCATTTCACAAGGACTCAGAGAGGTGAAAGAACTTGCCCGGGATCACACAGCAGCACGGGGACCCAGGCTGCTCGGTACACGGCCCATACCCGTGGCGGACATCACCTGCCTCCCAGAGCAGGCTCAGAGCGCACAGAACTGCTCTGATGGGGCAGATGGCGGGTGGAGGAAGCGGAGAGGAAACGGCCTGGCCGGGCCCAGAGAGGAGGTCATCCGCAAAATGCGCATTACTACATAAACTGAAGAAGCGAATGTTTTATGAAGTCTTTGGCTAAGGGTTTATGTCCAAATGGTGTTTTGTGGGGAGTTCAGGTAAAGTGAGACCACATTCTCTGGGATCCGGCAGGCAGAGGGGTAGACTAGGCGTAAGGGTTAGCGTTTGCAACCCGGACCCGTGGTCTGGGACTGGAACAACGAGCAGGGGCCCGCTGCCTGGGG